TCATCAAAATTATCTCTCAAAATATTTGTTTCCCATCTTTATAACTATTTTCTCCCCAAAATATTTATTTCTAGTACTCTCTTTTCCTTATTCACTACAAAACATTTGTTCCCTAGCTCCCATATTTCTTCTAAATTTTTTCTGTCCTTAACTTTTATCCCTCTAAAATATTTCTGTGCCACTCTTTTTACAATATTCATATCTCAATAAAAATTTTGTGTGTACTAAAATAGACAAATTAACACCTAGTTTAACCATTTTCCTTCTAAACTTTTGGGTCTATGATATTAATATAAATATAGACAAATTAGCACCTACAAACTTTCGGGAATTATAATAGAAATAAATCTTCATTAAATTTACTTTTTAAAAGGAGAAAACCATGTACAACTCACGGTTGACAAAAACAAGTTCTAATGAAATGGGAATAAAAATTTCTAAAAATGTGTCTACTATAATATAATCAAATTTGTCACGACTTTGTATACTAAATATTTAAGAGGTTAAATATATATTTTAGTGACAGAGTGTTTTTTCAAATTTGTGAGCTAATCTTTTAAAAGTTTTAATTTCGAATTTAATTGGAATGTTTTTACCTAACCCTCTTTTCGATCTATTCACCTTACATACATCAATGAAGTGATTTCTTATCCAAAAGAAATGTCACGAAGCATTAAAATTAGTTGACAAAATAATAAATTAATGTGAAAATACATTTATGAATTGAGTTAGTACTCTCTACGTTTTAATTTGATCAAGACATGTATAGTACTCACCCATTAAATTAAAAATTTGATGATTTTATATGAGTTAGTATGGTATGCTAATGAATAAAATTGACACGTTAAAAGATTGGTATGCTAACGATTACAAGCTAATAGAAGTTACTATTTTAAAATTCATATATTGTCCTTTCATTTAATATTTAATTATTTTAAGAACTCAATTGGAAAAAATCAATATATAAGGGTCAAATTGAAACTTTTAACACATTGAGACGAAATTAAAAACAGTCAAACGTTGAGAGCTAAAATAATTATTTAGTCAATTTAAAAATAGGAATCACCAAGGTGTCGTGGTGTAATTGGTTATAGTCTAACACACTGAAGGTTTTCGGTTCGAGAAAACGTACGTGACACCTCCATCATACTTACCCAGAAATCAGTATCAATAAAATGTCGATGTCTATGGATATTTAGGTAAAAGTTAGAAAAATTTAAAAATAGTAAAAAAATATTTAAATTAACAAATAAACATTTTCCTATTTCCAAATTAGTTAAAAGTAATTAATATTAATATTGTGTATATATTAGTAGCATTTTGTTGAAATTTTTCATATTTTGTCAATTTTCTTGTACTATAGGATGGAAATGTCAATTCACCTCTCATGTTAATATCGAACCCATGAAAACGTGGATATGTCGATGGAAATGTCGACGTGTCAACGAATATTTAGAACCATGAGAAAAACATCGTCATTCAAAAAAATAAGATGAAATAAACGAACTCTTTGTATTTTTCCACCTTCGGCTACTCCTACGTCACAAAAGAAGATGCTGCTGAAATTTATTTTTCTACTGCACTTGCCACTCAAACCCACGGCGTAAACATAAGTGAAGAATGTAGGTCAAAAAAATATGGACTTACTAACAACAAATAAAAGACGCAAACAACTTCTTTAGTTAATAACCGTGAGATATGCTTGAGTCACAAAACAACAAACGGACGTAAACATTTTACGTGCATCCCATATGATTTTCTTAAGAAGTAAAAAGAATCCAAAGTATAGTCAACAGTACTTCAACGACATGGAAATCTCGAATATATCTTAGTATAGATAAAGTACACATACGACATTTTATAGAGTCGAAAATTCATTTTCCACCCTATTATTTATTGAAATGAAAAACAAATAAACGAAAACAACAGCTCGATAATATTGTTGTATTAATAAAAATTTAGTGTAACTCGTGGGACACTAAATTAAAGATGGTAAAGTTTCTTTCCAACCATAAGAATGATTCTCCATTTCAGAAAAGAAAAATAATGATTAACATATGGGAGTTGTAGAAGAAATGAGTGGTTTTGAGAGAACCCACAAGTTCATGTATTATAATTATTGGTCCTTTTGAATTCTTTGCTTTCACCCAATCATGATCCATCCACTATGGAAATTATGGCCATACCATACCTTCACACACAGATCAAAAAGCTAGATGAACTGTTTGAATGTAGTGTCTATACTTATTAGTAAGAAGGTTGAATTATGTTATTTAACAAAATTTTATTTGTTTTTTTTGGATTAAATTTTTAAATTGTCCCATTATGTTAAATTTTATTAACAAAACTGTTAGATTTTGTGGAGCATAATCATCAAGACAACTCAGTTTGAAATTCGTTCGAAATTTAGATTAAAGGTCGGCCCCCAATAAAGAAAATGAATTGAGAGGCAATGTTGCAACATCACTAAAAAGCAGGCAACCAAGGAAATTAGCATTCTGATGTTGTTTAGAGCATTGAAACAATGCCACATATCGAAGAAGACACTCTGCACCACTAGAGTCAACGTCGAGACACAATTACGCATTTTTGCTTTAGTAACCTTTACCGTCGATCTTTTTTTAATAGGTACCTGTGGACTCGTTTGGAAATGTTCCTGTTTCTCATTTCTTGTTTCTCATTTCCCCCTTCCAATTTTCTTAAGAAATTTAAGCATTTTATTTTTCATTTTTTTAGAACATTCTCAAAATTGTATAGAAATTCTAGGAATAGCCAAAAACAAATTTCTTCTTTCTTGTTCACGTTTCCAATTTGGATTCTGCTAATTGGTTCATTCATCCTTAACTCACCATAATTAGGTGTAACCATTCATAAAAAATTACCCTTTTTGAATTCATATAAAATTGTAATGACGAGGGGATTCAAACTTTCGACCTGCAAGAAAGGCTACTAATAATTTACCTAGTTGGATTCTGCTTGGTTCGGTAATATTTTATATTTGGAGAATGAAACATAGTTTTGGGTACCGAATTTATTTAGTAGAATAACTTTTTTTAAAAATAACCCTTAAATTATTTTATTGTTGTTGTTTTTTCTTTTCTTGAATGGTTTCTGAGTTAATCGTTTAACCATAATCATTAAAAGTAAATCCTCTCTACTTGGCACCAATTGGGTGAGGTTCAAAATCCTAAGATTTTAAAGAGAGAAAAGCAAAGCAATTAGGGACAAATGATTGGAATTCATATTAAATGCATTTGATTTGATTGGCATTCCTTGTCAAAATAGTAGGAAGAAGAAAAAAAATGCCGGAACCGTTGAATTGGCAATGAAAGAAATAACTTATGTCTATTATAGACCTATGTAAGGTCACTTTTTCTTTTCGACGTGGGACCCAGAACTATGGTAAAAAAAATGTAAAGGTTATATATTATTTTGTACATTAAAATTATTATTCAAAAACATCGATTTTGAAATGATGAATAACTTCATTTGTTCTAAAATCATATAATCTAAATCTTTGAGGCAGACTAAAAAAGGGGAAAAAAACTTTTAAAACATGCATAGTCATTCAAAATATGTTTTTACTAAACTTCTTATTCTAAAAAATTATAAAACTTTTTGAGATCAATCCCAAACCAACCTTAAATGTTTTATTTGAAAGTATAATGTTTTTAAAGCATCCTTTTATTCCATTAATGGGAAAATTGTTTTTGTATTTATATATATATATATATATATATATATATATATATATATATCATTTGATTTATAAAATATACATTATTATTCAATTTAATCTTAATATTCTTAAATGGTTCATTTTGAAAGTATAATGTTCTAAAAATACCTTTGGTTGGACAATTGGGTAAGATTCCATTTAAAAATATTTTATTGTGATTATAAAATTGAAAAGTACTTTACATGTGAAATTGAAAAGAAGTGGTTTTTCAACCAAAAAAAAAAAAGAACAAATAACATATTTTGATAATGATCTAACTCACCTACCCCTTTATTTTTGCACCACAGATGTTTCCCAAAAAAATTTCAAATGTTTGGACAAACTTCACCCTATGAAAAGCAAATACTCAAAAGCCATTGGTTAGGTTTTTTATTGAAATATGGTCCCTCTAGTTCTCACTATAATGCTTCTTCCACTACTGCATGTTTCTTCTTTTCTTTTTTTCCCAATCATTAAAAAAAATAATAAAAAAGAAAAATCTTCTAAGGAATATCTATAAAGTTTCTCCCATTGGTAAATGAAAGAACCAAAAAAAAACAACAAACAACAAACAAAAAGAGCCATCAAGGTCATAAGACATGAGAAGAAGAATGTCAAGCAAGCCAAAGCCTTCACAACCTTTCTTTTTGCTTCTCCTCTTCCTCCTTCAAGCTCTATGTCTCCTTCGAGCTTCGTTCGCGAGCCCTTGCAACGGCTCGATAGCTGAGTGCAACACCGAGAAGGAGATGTTGATGGAATCGGAGATAAGTCGGAGGTTTCTCGAACAACAAAAGAAATACATCTCTATTGGAGCCTTAAAGAAGGATCGACCTGCTTGCGATGGTAGTGGCAGAGGCCAACCATACACCAAAAGCGGAAGCTGCGTTCCACCACCGTCCAATCCTTACGATCGAGGCTGCTCTAAGATATATCGTTGTAGGTCTGATGATTGATGGATTGAAATAAAAGAAACTGTATTTCGCTTTTTGTATAATTTCTCTTTTTTTTTTTCTTTTTTTTCCCTGTCTTCATGTTGGGGCAGTGAAGTGATATGCTTCTTGAATTAATGAAGTTTGTAATGGTTTTTCTTTTTCTTTGTGATTTCATTTTAATTTTTGGCCAATAAGAGAAAGATGAGAAGTGCTAGACATGTTTGGTTGGATATCATGTGTCCAGGATGTAAAGTGAGCAAAAACTATACCTAATCTTATCTTTTGGATTGCATAGGGATTTGTTGGTGTTAATTTTTTATTATTAAAGTTCTTTGATAAAAATAAATAAATAATAGGGCGGTTAAGATAATATAAAAGAAAATCGGTAGTTTTACATGTGACAATTAAGGTGAAAGTTAACGAAGTTGTAAGTCTCAATTTTACTCTACAATTCTTCCTCATTCATTGTCGACAGAATTTGCTTCAACATTATCTACCCAGTTTTGCTTTAATCCTCCTTTTAAAAGCAAAGAGCTTCTTCCACATTTCCTTTGTAAATTCTGTCATGTCAACTTTTTATTTAAAATATTAATAAATGTTTGTTTAAAAAGTATTTTTGAAACATTTAAGGGTATGCTTGGGAGTAATTTTAGCAATGCCAAAATCACTTTTCTTTATAGTTTGGTAAATTAGAAAAAAATGATGATTTTGAAAATTCAATTATATTTAAATCTCGTATTAGTACACCTAAGAAAGATCAAGGATACTATTAAAATTTTTAAAAGAATAAGAGTATTTTTCCAAAAAAAAAATGACAAAATTCAAAAGTATTATTTGTAATTTAGCATAACACTACCTAGTTTTGTTATTATTTTTTAAAACCCTTTATTTTAACTATTATTGAACACAACTCTATTTGTCCTTCTCTTTTCACCAACCCACTTCTTGAAGTGGTGTGGTATTTATTCTTTCAAAAGAATAATTTCCCAAAATTAAAACAAATAAAGCAATCTCACTGTTTACCACTTAACATATCAACACCATTGTATTATTCTCTTCAATTGGTACCTTTCATTATTTCAACTGATCCTAAAATGACATTTCACACCCATGAAATGTACTTTTAAAAAGTAATCAAAAATATATATTTTACGAGTAGAAAGACAAAACATACACACATATATATATATATGAACTGAAAATTCTAGGATCATATGAATGTTTTGAAAATAAATGATCAAAATAGACAAACACTAGACACTATATTTAAAATCCATTTAACTCACTACATTTGGCATGGCATTCTCAACAAGGCAAACACGGGCCACTTTTATCGTCTATTCAACTTCTTCCTTCGTCGATAGAGAATTTTTCATGGATGATTCGGAATGTGCTTCCCAAAGTAGCATTCATATCCAAGGATTTTATCGATTTGTCCAAGATATAAACTCCGACGAGAGATATAGGAACTTTTTTAGCCTTCACTCCGGATTCGAAAATCCATAATTTTGAATTTCTTTTTCAGCAATGTCTTCAGCTTTGTGATTCCACTCCCATCCTTGCATGAGACCACGCATCTCCCAAGCACAATTATAATAGCATTCTTCCCACCCCTTCACATATTTTAAGGTCAATCGTGGCTACGAGTCACGATTTAGCATTATTGTGAGTAATGAATTTTAGCACCAGGTGGTTGCTTCTAGCTAAGCAAAACTGTATCACTACTTTCAAACCCAACATATTTTTAAGTTATTTTAACGAAATACAATAAAACTTAGAATCCTATTCCAAATCTTGTCTAAATATAGAAAAAGAAATTGTTGGGGGTGGATTGTGATTAAATGAACACAAGCCTTATCTGTCGATGTGAAGCATAAGTCGCCCCGGTAATTCTTTCTGCAAGGATTACCATTGAATTACTCTTATGAATGTATCACTAACTTAAATGAACATGAATCACATTAGCATTTTATTTTAAGGAATTTCTCAAATCATTTCTAGAGGAACGTAATTTAGTACAAAAAAGCTAGGATTTCTAACCTATTTCAGTGAGAGCTTCCACACTTCTCGAACGTTGGATGAACCATCGGCAACTTCTGCAATCAGTTTGGAAACCATTTCACCTGTAACGGCAGACGATAAACAATCAATTCAAGAAATAGATCCCTCCTAAAAAAAGTGATCGAATCATAAATCCGTCTGTGAAATCATAACCATCAGTAGTGCATGTAAACTTTTTCTTGGCGAACTAATTCTGGAAAAAATCTAAAAGATCACAAGTATTAATTCTTCCTAAATGATCTAAATCCCTTGTTGTCTCCCGAAGCTGGTTTTGGAGTGGGCGAAAACTTACTACGGATTACTAAAGGTCGGCGAAGTCCTATAGGGATTAGTAGGGTGAGGCATGAGTACAATGCAAAAATGAGTCCCAACACCCCAATTATCAGAAAGTAAATAAATAAACAGATCTCCTTTGATGACATAAATGAATAGGAGTATAACTGTCAGTGGTTTCTTGAAGCGGATCAATCTTTCAACACCAAATATACTGGATTTTGAAGAGTGCGAGTTGCCTAAAGATTTGAAAGTTAATTTAGTTCTCAAAATATGAACTCACAGAAAATGTCAAAATGATCAAGATCATGTCCCAGAAATTTCAAATAAACATTTGTCATGGATCAGCCAGCGCCCCATACAACATTCACGAAACCATCATATTTTAGTCTAGAAATGTTGTCTATAACTGCTTCATAAGAAATGTTCTCCAATGGATACTCAGCAAGCATATCGTATTTCTTTTAATATAGCTCCTTCTTCATCGGAGCAGGGAGAAGTATAGTGTTTAAGCATAATTTTCACAGGAATTTTTGGGAGACCAGCTCACCTTCTTTTTCTAACACAGATAGAAAGCGTCGAGTTCCTCCTCCAACTCCAAAGTAATGCTTCTTTCCAGCCAAGTATACAACTCCATGAGGACGGCTCAAGCACTATTAATATGTTTAAAACTACATTAGAATTAATGAAGCTATAATAATAATACAACATTAGATGGACATCTGTATAAGTTCTTACCTGTGTGATAAGCTTATACAGAGTTTTAAGTGTGGAAAGAGAATAAACTGTCTCTGCCATTAAAACAATGTCATAGCCAGAAACTTGTCCGGGATCACAACTTCCACTTAGCTTCACCACATTGTCAGGTGCAAAAGGGAGAATTTTATGCATTTCACTCCAATCACCAGCAAAGTAACGAACTTCTGATCTTGCCTCTGATTCTGCAGCCATTTTTGAAAGATTTGCAGTCACATTTGGTATGGTAAGACACCTGAGGACTTCAGCATTGAAATCCTGGAAATGTACAGCAGCTGCATCCTAAGAGAGAGAGGGTAATGGCGAGGGGCGTAAACAACCATAGAGATTTTCATGCATTTAATCTGTAAGTGTAATGAAACAAAACAAAAGAATATATTTACCTCAAGGCATGCATAGATACCAGGAAGACCATGACCACATCCGATCTGAAAAAGGCATTGAGCGCAAAGTCAATGAGGAAGAGATGGATTTTATAGATGTCAGAAAGAAACTTCCTTTTGCAGTATCCAGGAAATTGGACCAACCGCAACCCAGTATGGGAATCGAAAGATCCTTCCCAACAAACATCAGGAAAAGGAAATGATCTTATACATGGGCATTAGGAAAATATACATGATAAATATAGAATACTAACTTTTAAATTAAACGCACATAAAATAAACCCAGTTCTTTGAATGTGAGAACCTGATTAAAATCTCAAAATAAAAATTAAAAAAAAACAGAAAAAATGAAACATCTAAGAAAATTATAACATTGACCTGGAACACTGTTCTAATGTAAAACTATTTAATCAGCAGATGATTGTTTATTCACATTTGACCAACTACATACACACTGCACTGGGAGTCAAACATGAATTTCTAAACTGTTAAAAATGATAAAGAGGATAATTCTCTTGACCATGAAATGTTTCTTAATGATCAAACTAAAGCTCAATTACTAGCAAGTTTTGCAGTACGTTAAGTAAATCAAATGTGGTTATATATATATTAATTTTCTTCTATTCACAATTCCAACTGTTACATGCATGAAGATACTAAAATCTGTTAACAGTTGCTTATCATCAAGATAAACCCGTCTTTAGCGATGATCCCACTCGTGAAATTGATTATAAATTTCTGGCTCCAAATCAACCATATTTCTAATCAGAAATGCTAAATAAAGTTTGCAATCTAATCCAATCATAGTCACAAGTAAACGCCATCAATAGGAGCAAAAGAACAATAAGTAATGGTCATTTTTTAAGACAAGTTTGAGGTTTAAATAATAGATCTGAAAGAAGTTTACAACCATCCTATCCACACATGAATGATCATAATGCTCTAAAAACATTATCTAGCATGCAGATGTATTCGTCTACAATCTCCAGACAGTATAGAATCACCTGAATATCAAGATGCCCACCTCTAGAACTCGTTTTCCAGCAAATGATAAATGCCCATTTTCAACTTCCCCACAAAGAGCCTTGACAAGATCTAATGCGCCTTCCCATAACTTAAGCCCCCCTACAGCCCACAAAGTACATGCATCATAATCATGTTTGTTGCCAATTGCCATAATCCAGATACGTGCTTTTCTAGCACGAACCAGGAAACTTGGATACTCGATTACCTTCATATTCACCAGGAACCAAATCAGAGTTGGACAAGGAGAAAACCTCCTGAGTGCTGACCCGTCCCTATAGACAGGTAAATAGCTTTAAGTACATCACTGTATGTCGAACAGAAATCATAAGATGGCAAAGCTAGTAAACAAAAGAAGAAAACAACTCTCCTGACTTTACATTTTAGCAAACACGCCACATTATTACATGTAAGATCTCAATTTTGTGCCAAAACTCAGAGCTAAGTCCACTGTCAAGTGATTTTGTTTTGGTTCACTATTTTTACAAATTATGCTTATCTACTAACATATGTTTTGTTTCTTAATCTACTTTCAGAACCCTTTTTGAAATAACAGGAATCTTTACCTTAAACATAGTGAGTCCACCCACACTTACTGGCTCCACCTTATATTTGACAGAAGATGAGACCTACCAACACCAAATAAGATCAATTTGGGCAACTGAAATTTCTACAAGATTATACTCATGAAAACAGGAATTACAACGTGATCCAAAACTCGCTGTCGCAATAACAAGTAATTAGAGGAAATCATTGGACATTCAAGTTTCAAACCAACCAAAAGAAAGAACAAAGCTACACAAAATGATACCTCAGAGGAAATAACTTCGAGGCAAGGAGGTGGAGGTGGAAGAGAAGGCTGTTGAGAGTCGAGAAAACCTATACCGAGACCTGGATTGGACTTCTCGTCTTCCACTGACGCAAACAACCGGAAATTTTCGAAAGCCGGACTCTGGAATTCCATAAATGGCGAAAGAAATTCAATAGAAGAGATTCAAATCATCAAAGGTGTAAGAAGTGAGATGTTTAGAGTAAGGAGATTCTTAGAGAGGAATACAGCAATTTGAGGTTACCGAAGAGTTCGCCGCCATCGCTGGTTGCTCCCCTGAGAGTTCCTCCTTCTCAACGGCGGAACAGAGCTTTCGCGTTCGAGCTCCGCCTCCAAACCTTCTGAGTCCAAGGTTTTTTTTTTTTTTCTTTCTAAAATTGTAAATAACTTTTATTAAATTAACGATTTAATCTTTAAACTTTAAAAAATAACGATTTAATCATTTTACTTTAAAATTGGTTTACCCTTAAATCTAATGTGGCGTACAAATTAAATAGTCAACTAAGTGGGTTGTTCGGGTTGATTTAATTTAGACTGATTTAAAATTAAAACAAAAATTATAAAAAGAAAATTTTCTTCCTTCACCCAAACCCAAGATTCGTCGACCCTTGCTCTTTCATCACTCATATCTCCATGTCCACATAGTTGCAGTAGGCCGTAGCAGAGAGGCACCCATCAAGAATCAATGGTAATTGCATCTGCTCAAGCTCCCTAATTCCGGCTTCGAGATTTCTTGGAATTGTTAGTCGGCCAAGTCGAACAACATGAAGTAGCAGTGGAGGTAGAGATACTTAGTAGAGACTGCCCTGAGCCAGACGGTGGCAAATTTTGCGTAGGCTCCTCCAATTGGAGGTTCTCAGAGTGAAGGTTTAGACCTCCGACTGGTGGGGAGAAGAGTATCTTTTAATCCAATGAAATCTTTGAGAACATAATTTTAACCACGTTTATTTGTGGGTGAAATTAAATCCCACACACCACATCAAGGTCAAAAAATTCATTGGTTCTAGGCAACTCCAGGTAGTCTCTTATAAATGGGATGTATATAAAGAGCTTATCATTGTAAAGAAAATCAGATAAAAATAGCAACCCATGGAAAGAACCTACCACATTGACATCGTACTTTGGCATTGAAGCAGAAAAAGTAGTGAAAATTCTCTTGACGGGCTGTTGACGTTGTGTGAAGGTAGGGAAATCCACGAAATATATGTGTCGGATGGAGTAACTGCAGTGGAAGATTATGTTGGATGTTTAATATGTAAAAGAAAGTGAGAAAACTGTTGAGTATACAAATTTAACATACTTATTTTACATTTGTAACTTTATTTGTGTTAAAAGTTGTGAGATGTTACTTGTTTTGGACAACTAGTTGTTATTTTGCTTCATTTTGAGATATTCAAGCATACCTCAATTAAGTATTCTCCTCTCTTCAACTAGCAATTTGTGCAGAGCGAATAATTGCTTTCAGTATTACACAGTTCATATATACAGCATATATTTATCCAACAGATTAAGGAGCGAAAGTTATCGTGTTCATCATCATCGGCACGTGGAGTTGTTGAAGTTGTGGAGAATTTGTGGGCGTTGGTCCAAAAGACAATATGACTTGCAAACATACCTGAATTGAACAAAAAATTAAAAAATGAGATAGGAGAGGGATGTGGAGAAGAATATCGTGAAGAGGTTCAATTTGGGATGGAGATGGAAGAGAGCTGTGGTTGGAGGAGAGGATGCAGGAAAGGAATTTGGAGTTTTCCAACCATGGACAGCGGAGGAGGAAGAAGTCGTGAAAAGAAGAAATTTTTCTTTTTATAATTATTTTTTTAGTTTTCAACCGGTCTAAATTAAACCGACCCAATATTGAACCAACCCGTTTAGTTGGCTATTTAATTTAGCCACATGTACAAGCTACGTCATACTTCTCGTTAAATCTAACCAATTTTTTAACAGTAGGACCAAATTGTAACCAATTTTACATGGACTAAATCGTTTCAGGGATCAAATGTGTTTTTTAACCCTATTTAAATTATAAGTTTAGTCGGTTTAAATTTAAAACCGGACTTTTCTTTTTTCTTTTTTCGAAAATTTATTTTCAAACTTATTTTAAAAATAATACCCGGAAATTGAAGAGATTTTGGGCTTTTTTTTTTTAATATCTTGGCCCATTTGTCTCCACTCCCAACACGTTTGAACCCAAAACTAATGTCGATCGACTGACGTGCATCTCTGATAGGCAAATCAATGGTGCTCGATGACTTTAGACTTCCAAAGTACATAAACTGAAGTTTCTTCTTTTATAATTTTCCACTTATTAAGAATGATATGATAGGAACTAGAAAGTATGTCACGACTGGCTTTCCACATAAAATTTTTAATTTTTCGAGAAGCACCCCCTTATATTGATCATAATATAATTTCTTCCACTTAATATAATTTCTCCGTATAAAAAGTCACATGCATCCCTTAGAATTTATGTGTGGCTCGAAGTAACAAGTAATTGAGATGCAACCTCTATTCTTTAAAACTATGCTTATAAGAGAATTCGAGTTATTAAGAAGTGTTTAGGGTTGGTTCGATAACATTTTGGCTCGTTTTTTGTTTATTGTTTTTTCGTTTCTCGTTCTCGTTTCTAATTTTTTATCAACATAAGCGTTTAGTAAATATTCAAAAAAAAAAACACTTCCAATTTTGTAAATAACAAAATCAAATTTCTGATTTCTAGTTCTCATTTCAAGTTTTTCCTACAACATAAATAAAGGCATTGTTATTATCATTATTCATTTATAAAATAAAAGTTTTAAGTATTTAATTTAATATTTTATTTTTCTTATTAAAAAATTTACTTTTTTAGTTTAAAATTCTAGATAACTTTTTTTCAATAAAATAAAGAAAGAAAAAACAATTACCAAATGCATTTTGTTCCTATTTATTAGAAAAAGAAGAAACAAGAAATAAGTAACAAAAACAAGAAATGGAACAAGGTCTTACCAAACTTATTACTATTTATATTTATTTAAAAAAGAAAAACAATAACGTATTGGATTGCAAGGAGTGCAAACAAAGTTTCACATTAATTAGGGCAAAGAATATGATCCTCGTATATAGATGAGAACGATTATATTCGAATGAGGTATTTTTGATGAAACTAAAAACAAAATGGTGACTGTTATGCTCAAAGCAAACAATATATATCATATCCCTTTGGAAAAATGATTGACGATACAGAATAGTATTAATTATTTCTATTGGTATGAGACCTTTTGAATAAAACAAAAAAAAAATGATTACGAGGTACCATTATCGTTAACCAAACGAACCTAAGTTCAATTTTCTTCAAAAGATAAGTCCATTTTCGACTTTAGGCCAACATAGAGTATCTTTAACTTTTTCTTCTAATGCATCTTTTTATCATTTTCTCCACTTGATCTCTAAAAAAAATCTTACTATCATGGACAAATTCTCCCTAGTTGAAAAGAAACCAAAGCATTAAAGCGGGTCCAATCATGTAAATTCGGAAAGCTTTAACAATCACTTCGATGAGACGAATCCTCTCTACTTTCTTCCAAATCTAGACGATGTTCACTTTTCTCGTCTTGAATGATTTTCCAAACCTTGTCCTTTTTTCTAATTAAGCGGGTTTGCAAATTCACTAGCTAATCAAAGGATACGAAAGATTTTGCTAATGCTTTTATAATCAAAGATTTCCTAACCTTTCAGGCTTTTTTCATTCTTGCCCTATCATCTATTAAAAAGGAAAAAAAAAAATTATAGTGGAAACTTCCTCTCACAATAGAATTCTCCCTTAAAAGGAGAATTATGATTTTCTTCATTGGAGAAAACGGAGGATAAGTGTTTAGCCAAAAAATGAGAAAGAAAAGATAATGAGATAAAAACTCTCCTTATCTTAATCTCTTTTCGATTTCATCCAATGATTGAGAGAGTTACAATCAAGCAAAAGTTTAGGCCGGTTTGATATACAACTTGGGTTGTCCCTTGAAAATGTAGCGGAGTGGAAGGCACTTGGAGCCTTGAGGTACCACCTATATCTTGAAGTTTCAATCTGTTACATTGTTGTTCAGCCCAAGACACTAGCCTTTGTTATAGGAATCCACTGCCATAAGTCACACTACATCGATTTCGAAAAATTGAAAAAATATATACACATATATTTATATTTGTGTGTCTTATCATTTCACTCATAAAAAGTCACTAACTACACTCAAATTTTATATATAATATGTAGTAAAAAATTAATTTGTTTAGCGACAAAATATCTATGATCATTAAAAATAAGTAATGGTCACAGATATTTACTTAGTGTTTTAATCATTGTTTTGTTTACCAAACAAAACACTGATTGCAAACTTCTTGAACAAATTAATTTTTATGAGTGAAATAATAAGAGATGACAACTAGTGTGCGGTATGTATATATATAAAACTTGGGTTCTCTTGATTGTTTTCAAATTTACTTAATCAAATAGATTCACTAGATATCTTTTGGCAAATATGTTTTTATCCAAATAAAACTAACATTTTTATGTTTCAATATCTCTAAATTTCGAATTTTTTAATATAAAAATTTATAAATATATCATTTCATTTTATAAACTCATTTCATTTTTGGTTAAAATTAAAACAGGTAAAACACAAATTATTATAAATTATATAATTATGTAAAATAATAACCATACAAAATTTATAACATATATATTAATTAATTAATAATATTTTATATTGAACTAAATATTTAGTTCGTAACTAGTTTACAAATATATTATCAAACACACCATAACCACTTTTCAAATTAAGATTTAATCTTCAACTCTGCTACCTAATACATACTCAAAAATACTGAAAATATTTCATTTTTCATTGAATTCTTTATTTTCAAATCACCGCACCCTAAATATTCTATCAATCCTCGTTAAAAAAAATACATCTTTTTCATCACTTTTTATAAATCCGTTCAATTTTGATCATAAAAACCTTACTCATTTTTTCTAAATCTTTTCATTACCTTTTACTTATGTCAAAGACATTTAATAGGATTTAATCAAAAGATAGTAACATAGCAATAATGAATTTGAATGGAATATTAAATTAAAATAATGAAATTATGTAACCCTTATATAGACAAATTATTAGAACTTCCTTGAACAAATTATGGGAAATTTGAAATTTTGATTGAAATTACATAAGATTCACAAATTGTTATTTTTATTTTATTTATTTATTTTTGTTGAGATTTTGAGAATATTTTAAGAGGGCATCCAAGAGGGACCAAAAATTCAAATGTGTGGCCAATACCAATATGAACGCAACCACGCCACCAGTCACTAACTATTCAACCAATCAATTCTATCAATAGTGATTTTTTTTTAGATTTTCCACTACAAATTTGATTATGACTTTTATGGATATAAACATAAACAATGCCTAATTATCTTCTTTTCTTTTTCTTTTCCCTTTTTATCTTTCTCTTTCTGATTTATTTATTAAGAAATATATTTTATTTCAATGGAGGAAAAAGCATTTGGAAAAACTCTTTTATCTTCTCTAAGTAAATATTTTATTTAAATACTATTTTAATCGTAGTTCTTATTTTTTAAAAAAAAAATTATTTTCATTTCTATATTTTTAACTTTTTTTTATTTTGTATCTTTTGATTTTTACTTTGATGATGATTTTGGTTCTATTCTCAAAATTTTAACACAAATTTTATAAAAATATTTAATATATAATGATCAAAACAAACATTTTAAAATTACAATGACAAAAATGAACAAAATTTAAAAGTATAAAATTAAACTAGACGTTTTAAAAGTATATAAGGACTTAAACCAAGAAAGTTGAAATTATAGTACATCAAACATTTTTTTAGTACCCTAATTTTATATTATACTTATCTGTTGATTCTTTAGTAGGATTTGATATTAGTGATTAATGATTAATGATTTTTTAAATATTATATAAATTTTTTGTATTTGTAATTATTTTTTTAAAAAAAGTTGTGTTTATATTTTAAATTACTCCACTCAAAATAATTACTTATAAAAAAACAATTAAATAAAATTGGATTCTTTGTCCATGACGATAAAACTAAGATAGAGAGAGACTTTATTAGTAAAAGAAAAAAAGAGAGAAAAAAAGAAAATTTAACTTGAACAAAATTTCAAATTAATTGAGCTGTATTAGTTGGCTATCACTAATAAATAACTAAATTAATTTAATAAGTGCGAAAGCTAGTGGTTAGACACATTTATTTTATTTTGTCATTGATTTGTATAAATATCTAGTCAACTTAATAAAATATTTTAATTGTATTTTATTATTTTATTTATCATGGTTTTAAAAAAATTATATTGTTTTTACATGTTTAAACAAATAGAGTTCACATGTTTGGTTCGTTTATTTTCTTTTTAATTCTGAAATTCAAATTCAAATGACCATATATTTGTTTTTGAAGAAAAGATATTATATTTTAATTCACCATATTTTTATATTCCTACTTATCTGTTGATTCTTTAGTGAGATTTGAGTTTAGTGGCTAATCTATTTATTTTCCAATTGATTTGAAAAACAAGGAATCTAGAAATTTAAAATTTAAATCTAAATTATATTTTAGTTCTTATACATTTTTAAATTTTATTATCATCTTTACCTTTTTGCTTAAATATTTCTACCAAAGTCCCTATCAAAAATGGTAGGTTGTCTTTTGTTCAACGAAATCCAATTACATTTGCTTTAGTCTCATATGTACTTAGTCAAAAAGCATATATCGAAAAATGATGTAAATTCATGTTTTTCAAATAAATGTGATCTAAGCACCTTTTATCATTGAAATGTGCATCACCAAATGAAATTTATATGCCATATTTTTTAAAAATAAATTATCATATTGAAATTATTTTTTGGCTCCCATTAACTTAATGATAAGAACATCAACCGAGCTAAACTTTTGAACTTTTATAGATTACAATTTAATCTGTCATTGAATTTTAATATATAACAATTTCAAATTTAATATATCGTAACAATTTAATCTTTTTAAAATAGGTACCAATATAGTTTCTATACTTTTGTACTAGAGTGAAATTTACCCATAATAAAAGTCCCAATACTTCCCTTGTTAGTTAGACTCGAACAAAATTGTAAATCAAAATGGATAGAATTCAGCGACTAAATTGTTACATATACCAAGAGTGTATTTTGGTCTAACTTTTAGAAATATCCAAACTACCAAAACGAGCATATTTAAGCGGTTTCGAACCTCACCCCTATTCAAAAAAATAAAATATATATATATTTATAAAACGACTAAAATGTAATTTATCCTAAATTTAATGGTTTGTACACAAATTTTTTTTTTCTAGGGAACTACAATCTGCCACACAATTTATTAAAAGGAAGAGAAAAAAAAGCCCTAAAATATAAAACAAATTAAGAAGAGAAAAAAAATCTAACTAATAAATGAGGAAAGTCCAAGCGTCGTTATCCTCGGGAATTCGGAATCTTTATCGTCGTCATCGGAAATTAAATCAACGTCCTCCATAGCAACCGAGCTTCCACGGCGGTTTCCGGCCGGCCGAGCCTGACTCGATTCTCGACTGAACGCTCTCGAACTCGGAATACGGACAAGGAATGGTGATTCCGCCGTGATGTTGGAATCCGTACT